CGTGTAGTCAGGTAAAGTGCTTGGAACCTATAGTGCAAATACTGCAAAGCTGCCAATTTCTCTCTCATTTTGGCTAAATGTAATCAACATCTGCTTCACCTTACAGGTTCAAGGACATCTAAGCACGCAGCAAATGGCAGAAGTCCTCAAAATATCCAATAGCTGTCGTGGCTGAGCCAGGCGGACTGTAGGTGCAGACTAGAACACCGTATGGCACGTTGCCGACAAGAAGACCCTGTCTGGTTCTAGCTGCAAACGCATAAATGCTGCAGGCAAACAAATAATAAGTTAGTGGATGCAGCATTCATCAGTTGAAGGGTAAAGTGCAAAAACCTTTCACCCAGATGTTCAGATGCAGATAAAGTTACTGAAGTTTAGTTCATACAAGGTTTGATTGCGTACCATCTTCCTCACTTTCTGCCATGGTTTTTGATCCACAAGTACACCCAGGTACAGTTCAAGACTCACAACTTTCTTAGGAGGCTAAAATAAAATAAAATAACACTCCAACACCAAACTGGACAACTGTCTGCAATATTTGGAGAAAATGAGGAAACTCGGTGAATTCTCTGACAAAATCAGGGAGGGGAACATTTAATGTTTTGGGATAAATCTGAAAATGTGAGAAACTGGACAATTTCATAACTCCTGATAAGTACTGTACTCCAGCTAGGATGATCTGAATTTTGCTTGTAAGACTATAACAAGTACATTTGTAGTGGATGTCTCCGGATAAAACTTTAACCAAATCGAAAGCAGAATCGAAAGCAGTCCCAGTGAATTGGGTCAGGGCCCAGTATCAAAGAAGGACTATATGTAGGGCCCTGTTTATGGGTCCAAGAGACTTGCTTGGTACATACAAGATCAAGGCCAAAATTATCAGCAAGTTACTTAACAAATCAATTGATGCCTTGATATTTGGGTTGCACATTTCTGATTCAAGAAAGGCTTTCCTATCAGAAAGCACAAGATCAGTTGAATTTTTTTGTCAAAGTCTCAAACGTAGCCCAAATACCACAGATTCCATTCAAAAAATGGGGAAAAAGTGCTCGAGTAAGACGAAAACAAAGACGACCTAATTGGTCAAAAGGGGCCTAAAAGGTTAATACTAAAAGAATTTCATTGTTGGTACCACAGAATGTAATTACCCTGAAAATGTTGCGTTTGTAAAAAAAAAAAAAAGCCTTTTGACGAGGCATAATCAATACCGTTACATGTATATTGAAAAGGGAAGGATTAATCAATCAACAATAATTGTAACTTTTGTAACAATAACTTTTAGCCTCTTCAAACCTGCAGTTTGATGTCTTATAAATGTGGAATGTTGTAGGCTTGGTATCTTGCCCAGTGGCTAGCAGAAGTCCATGCTGACACACTTGATCTTGCTGTTGTTTGGATACCTTCATGAACAGCGACGCAAATTGGTTCATGTAAGTCTGGAAAAGATCAAATGAAAACTGGACATCGTCATTTGAAATAAGTCCAACCTACATGTAAATACATATATGTATACACATTTTCCGAACCTCAAAATTAAAAGCTGGTTTGCAAAAGCAAACAAGAATGTAATTTTGTGCGGTCATTTCAAATATTTGCGCTGCAACTTCACCAAGGTTAAACATATTTTACTCAAGCGAACTCCGCTGTGAAAGCTTCGCGACATCACATTCACTTTGTACATACCCCTGAAGTATAAATCAGCCTTTAGAGATCCTTGACAAAGTACATGTACCTGGTTGATTTCCTGGAGTTTTCCTGAGCTGTACAAGCAAGAGGCATTCTGGGAAATCAGGAGGACACCTGTTATGACACCACCTTTCAGCAAATGGTCTGAAATGTTATGCAGAGAAACATTGTAATCACAAGACACTGGTTTTAAAGGATAGAAGATGCATGCATATGTACATGTGTATTACATTCTTACTTGTTCTATACGAAGATACATGACGGAACTTCTAGTCAAAAATTTTAGGATTCTAACTTCTGTGTACAGGGAATTCCAAAATCTAAGACAATGATGAAGACACAATTCTTGACCAGATGTACTGATTCAATGATTGCTGATATTGTTTTCTGTTTTTTAGTTTCTTAGTTGGACAGAATGAATGTGAAAATTGAAAAACCTCAATCATGTGAAAAAATATGCAAGATCTTCTATAGCTTGGCACTTACTGACAGCACCTTAGGGCCTACACAGGGTGTCTTTAAAAAAAGGAAACTGAAATTAATTAATCTGTATCTTGAATGTGACTATTTTTGTAAATGGTAAATATAATCTATTTCAGTGTGTTATCTTCTTTCGTATGACACCAAAAAATCCACATTTCCTTCTCACGAGTGGGCACAAAGTGGGTTTTTTGAACCGTGTCAGAATTGGCCGTGCACCATATGCATTACAGGTTTGAAAAGTGAAGCATTTAGTACACCAGGGCCTACCAAAATGATTAATTCACAGACGACAGTTAGGGGCTTATTCTGGCAGCAGCCTAACCCCTGTGTCCTTCAGCATACCCCTCATTTCTTTCAACACAAACTTCTGCCTTTGTTCTCATCGCTTTTAAATGGTTAACATGCATTTTGGAGCTTCTAGCAAGTATTACAAATTATGACCAAAAAGCCATCTCTGGCATGTCAGGAAAGTATGATTGAAATCAACACCAAAACAGCTGCAAAGCCATTTTTGACTAAAATTTAAAAATCCATTAAACCACATGTTCAGTCATCTGTGATGGAAATTTGGATTTCTTGGTGTCATATGATAGAGGATATCTCAATGAAACCATTTACCAGTGTTGTAACGAGTCACTAAATTTGGCGACTCGAGTAGTCATTTTTAACACTGTCACAGGGTCAGACACAAGTTGAGTCATTAGGTCAAGAAGTTGAGTGGAGTTGAATCACTTTGTGTAGTCGAGTCGAGTCAAGTATCAAGCTCGAGTCAATTTGAGTCTCAATTTTTGAACAAAATAAATAAAAAAGCAACTGCATGTAAGTCATTTTTTGGCCCGGTATTTTTATTTTCATTTAGACTTACTGAAAATCAATTAGGATGACAGGTATCTAGCTAACTTAAATTTGGCTTTTAATTTTGTTGAGATTCGAATCTTATAAGTTTGTACTCGGGTTGAGTCTCCATGACATGCATGAGAGATTCAAGTCGAGTCATTTGAACGCAGATTCAAGTTAAGTCATTTACCCATTGGGAATCAAATCAAGTTGCTCACAATTGTGACTCTCGCGCGAGTCACTGCAACCATGACAACTCTATCATTTACCAAATTTATTTCATACTGAAATCGGAGGATTTAGGACTTTTGTTAGGTCTATCAGGGCCCATAACAGGGTCCGACGAAGACTCCGTCGTCATGATGAAAGAGTATACGTCGGACCCTGTTTACGGATCTAGGGCTATCAACATGATCAATGATTATAGAAAGAAACAAACATGACAAATTTATCTCAGCTTCCTTGTTTTTTAAAGACACACTGTAGGCCGCCTAGGCCTAGGTATGTTTTTGAAAAATAAAAAACGAAACAACAAAAGCGCAAAAAATAATCTGAACTAGGCCCCTATAATACTGAGTCAATTTTATACCATGGGAGATTGTGAATTTGGGGACCCCCCCAACTTTCTGTCATTTTAATCTGTGCAAAACTGCTCATTCCCCAAAACACCAAGGGCAACGCTGTCTGAACTGCCCTGACCCTGTTTTTTGGATATTTCAAATTGCAAATTGTAAGAAAATGTGACTTTCCTTCTGATAAACCAAAATTTGTGTTTAAGACACCCAGTTTCCCCTCATAATTTCCATCAAATTTCAAAACCCTGCCCTCTTTCATGTCTTTTCACAGCATCAACCATAACGGCATAGGCCAAAGTTATTGAGCATATAATTAGGCCTAGGCCTATGTCTCCCTGCCTGCATGCCACAATCTACCGAGGGATAGTGGATGGGGAGTCCAAAAGTAAAAATGTAGGTCTCCCTCTGAAAAAGGAACTGGGTTCCTAAAATCCCCATACCATGCATCAGTGTTTCCCATCTGAATTGATACATAATCATCACGGTGACGCAATCCGTACGTGTCACAACACCTGCAGGCAGTGATACAACAATCCGAAGTAATTCGAACTTCGGACCTTCGGATTTGATTTGCAATCCACTGAACTAGGTCCTAGACTCTCATTAGCCTTGGTCATGTATCCTTCAATTTTGACTTGCGGAACCAGATACTTTGTTTTTGACAACCAAATTGCGAATCAAAACCAACTGTGTAAGGACAGATCACATACGACATTAGATCACAATGACTTACAGTGGCTACGACTACACATTTCAGCCAGAAAAAAAAAAGAATTTTCGTTGACACTATTAAATTCTCATTTTCCTGAAACGAATGTACAATATAATGCGAGACTTCAAATTGTCTATATTCATTTTAACTTGGTAATTTTCTTCCAGAAATCTTTACGAGCCTCTGAGGACAGTAAGGCTTGAATGTGTTTCATCATGATAAATTGAACACCTGATGTGAACTTGGAGAGTCATTGATGTGTTGTGCCACCGTGACTGAGTGGCAGAGGATCCCATTCTCTTTCTTGTCGCAGACGGCTGTTTTGTGCTCTATTTTGTCCTCAGTAAATTATCAGTATGGATGTGACATAATATACACGTACACCACAATAGCAAGGTTAGTTAACTGTACGAGGTTAGTTAACTGTACGAGGTTAGTTAACTGTACGAGGTTAGTTAACTGTACGAGGTTAGTTAACTGTACGAGGTTAGTGAACTGTACTGTGTGCAACTTGAAGTCGGCCAACTGATCCTTGGATTCTTGCACACCCCCAAAGAAAAGACCTTAGCGACTCCCCTGGTATCAGCATCGGCAATTTAGAGTGTCGACGCTCTCCTGTTTAATTTTCACTTCATTTTTAACTCCTGCGGACGCGGATTATTTTGCTGAGGATTTAATAAACTCAAATGTAGGTTATGTGATGTCGGTGCTGAAAGGGGAAAAATCGTTTATAAAACTTCAGAACAAATAGACATTGATTCGGCATTTAGCTTCCTGAATCCCAAATTGGTAACCAATACTGTCTACTGCACAGCTGTGAAGCTGTTTCATCTCATCCGTATACTGTACGTCCTTTCGTAGCCCCCGTATTGCCTAACCACCTTTTACACCATGGATTCTAAGATGAAATAGCTGGAATAATTGGCTATGTTTACGCGGACGGTACGGGAACGCTGAAACTGGAAGTGGAAAGTGTGATTTCTTTTGTCGTCCAGCAAATTGAAACGGGAAAATGGCAACGAAATCAACTAAAGGTAATACTATGTGAGACCTGTTTTTTAAGGTGTTTTCTTTAAGATGACCGAGTATTTCGATGAAATTGAATTTGCTTTATTTGGAACCGACGCTCGTTTCCGTATTCGAACGGCCAGACGTTCGACGTTGGCCATGTACGTGTACGTGTAGGCTACATCATTTGCACGTACATGTACATGTCGGCCGTTACACATGTAACAGTAGCGTGGGGGGGGGGAGTACGGATCACTTTCTGTGGTGAACACTCCGGATCTTAACACCCGCCCAACTTCGGAATTTTTAGTTGTAGTTAGGGGGCCTAGGCGGCGTAGGCCTACATCCTTTTGTTGTGGAATTCCTTTTCTTGGAAAGAGTTTGGGAATTGGCCTAGGCCTGTACACCTACTCCTACTACTACTACCAGGCCTTAATTCATTGCAGAATACTCTGCCACTCTAAAAACGACCCTTGGGAATGACTGGTTGCATGGGAACAAGTCAAGATGAAAATCCCTTAAGAAGAGTGTAACACTTTGACCTGTACCTGGCTATGAAGTATGAGTAGGTTGATCATGTGGGGTGGCGGGGTATTCTGCCACTGTCTGCGGTTGAGCTGAGTTGGGAAAGAGCTCCACATATGGACACCACTGAACACCCTTTGCACAAACCCTAACCCGTCGTAATTAAAATGGCAATTTGTTTGCTGTTGGTTTTGGTAATAAATATATGAGACTGGTCTAAAAAATTGTTCGTATTTTATCAGTAAACGAGTTGGTAGGCCTATGTTCCCTCCTAAATTGAACTTTTCCGGACATGATTTTGCTTTCTGAGGGAATAGGCCCAACAAAACTTTCTGACATTTGCAGTGCATCATGGGTTCGAATGACAAACATGTAATGCATTTTATGCGCAACCCTTTTGAAGAAGTGTTCCCTGCGAAGCGATAAGGCAGGATCCTCAAAATATGGACCATTAGATAATGTTAAAGTTTGGGGTTTCATTTTTCCTGAAGTGAACAGCAGTGAATTAATTTCCAATGTTTGATATAATGAGGGAAGTCATGGCTGATATCTGGAACAATGATGACTGTGTCAACCTTTCAACTTAATTGGAGTTAATTAATTAAAGTCTCGAACGTTAGCAATTTTGAGGGACATGAACTCCCCGTTAAAATCTGAGCAAACAGAATTTACTGAGGAGTGATAATCCTCGTGGTTATTTTACACAGATTTCATTGTCCAATCAAAATCACGACTTATAGCTCACTCATCTAGCATTGACCAGTCACGTTCATTTTCAGTTTGTAGAGTGACTGGTGCCCGTAAAAAAAACAATTAACAGGTGATTTTGTCTTACAAACATTTGAAAACTTATTTGAAAATCTTCCTTGTATAATCTGATAATGCATAGAGTTGATGAGCACATAGAAATATTTAGTAGAAAACTGTAAATTGATTTCTGACGAGTTCGCTTCCCCCATAGGGTTGTGCATAAAACACGCTGCTTGTTTGTCATCCAAACCCATAATGCATTGCAAATATCAAAAAGGTTTATTATTGGTGTTCGTAACTCTTCCCTTCTTCTTTGTTTGTTGGCTAACTAACGTCTGTACTGTGACTGTGCATATAGTGGTAGGCCTACCCGCATTGAGCAGAAGCACCCCCTCATTGCTTGAAAAAGTCATAATCCTGTTGGTTGGGAGCATCCGCAATGTCAGAATGTGTGCATTTCCTAGTCGTTCATGAACCAGCTACATGTAAGTTCAGTTCCGAGCAAAGGAGCTTCCGTTGCTGAGAGAATTGCGCCCTCTCTTGGTCCAGCTCGAGGCTAGCATAGTCGCAGGTCCCGAATTTTGCCACCTACATGTACTGTAGGCCTGCAATGTAAGTGGCGAATAAAGGGACACGGCGACTATACCATCATGGACATTAGAGATTTTCACACAGACTCAACATTCCCATGAGGATTGCTGCCCATGACTATACATACGTGTAGGGATCACGTCATCTCAGACCCAAACCAACGTGGACCATGCCAACTCTGGATGTTGGCCAACTCGACTATTTGCCAACTTAACCCGGGACGATTCGACCTACATGTAGTTGTCTGGAAATTTCGAAGCAAGATTAGAGCAGTATTGCATTAAAACTTCCATGCTGGCCAGCAACTTGATAAGTTTGGTTATTCAAAGTGTTTACTCAGAAAATACTTATATAGACTAGTCTCCTA